CCAGAAAGTTGGAGTGCGCTAGCAACTGCACTGGAGTCAGGATCTTCTCTGAGTACTATGGACCAGAGCCCTATCACCCCTTTCTCTGGGTTTGAATTGCTCCAATGGAAAGGGATAAACCCACAGTATAGCAAAACAGGATACTCTTCTGAATCAGATGTAATATCTAGTAAAATCCTATATCGGCACAGTGCTGCTAAAAGGTTGCCTACCCCTGATCTAGGCAGTATAAACAAATAGAGAGGCAGGAGCCCAAATTGAATAGTATCAAACACAGTATTTATTTAAACAAAAGGTTAAAAACTCTTACTTGAAGTAGTGGGTTTGCCAGCAATAAACCCACAACTAGATAAGCAGGAATTTACACACAGAAAATGATACAGCTTAGACACTTCCTGGTTTCGGTCACATGACCGCTGGGACCGCCTCTCTCTGATGTCACACGTGAAGCGTTTCGACCACCTCCTGGGCTTCTTCTGACGACATCATTCCTGTTCAGCCCTGTCTTTTAAGTGTCCAGACACTCCCCTTCTGTTTCACCATTGGTTGAGGGGGCAGTCAATCAGACTAGGATTTATTTCTAGTCCTCCCACTCTTAGTGGGTATGTGCACTCAATTCATAAGTCTTTTCTAGGGCTGTTTATGAAATCTGTTCATACTGCCTATAGTAAAGATTACAGCACTGTAGGCTGATATTGCCCAAAAGATCACATTATGAAAAAAATATTGTTAGAAAAAACTTTCTATAAAAAACTTTTATAAATATTTTAGCTTCCAACAATATATAATCACATTTATATTCTTTAAATTTTTATTGCAATGGGGATCATCTACTAAATAGAATTATACATAAAATAATATTTCTTGCAATCAAGTAAAAAATAGAAGCTAAAAATATCAACCCAAAGTCCAGCCCTGGGATAACATTATTAAAAACAAAATTTTAATAAAATCAAAAGTATTGAAAATTCCAGGAGATCATCACCTAAATGTGAATGTATCAAACATCTAGCTTGACATCGTGTGTGGATAGTTCCTCTGTATAGAGAGGATCAATAAATGTGGGTAGAGACAAATATTCAATATTGGAGTTGTCTATACTGAGAAATGGACAAAATTCTGAATGGGGATTATCTACTAAACAGAATCTTTTTTTACCAAATATTAAATTCTAAAAAAAACAACAAACAGTAATCTGTTATTAATTATGTCCTCTGTTGTCAATCATCAAGCTACAGTGCGTACATTACATTTCATACCAGTCATTAAAACATTGCATCATCTGTATACATCTATATGCTCATGTTCATATACACATGCACATTACATTATCTATATTGCATTTGATGCTGTAGAGTTTATCTCTTATATATCTAGAGAAGAGAAAAATAATTTAGCATATACATTTATGTATTTGAATGCCATTCTTATTGTGCTTATAGAAAGTGACAGATCTCGAAGTCCTCGTTAAGGCCCCTAGGTGATAGGGATTTTAATTTAAATATCCATCTAATTTCTTGTTGGGCTAACTTCTTATCTAAATCTTCTCCTCGCCAATCTCTATTAACTTTTTCTAGTCCTAAAAATCTAAGTGTAGTGGGATCACTATTATGTTTTAGTGCGAAGTGCGCTGATAGAGGATGTTCTTTAACACTTTATCGGATGTTGCGAACATGTTCTCCAATACGTACATATATTTTTTGTGTGGTCTTGCCCACGTGTTGTAAATTACATGGGCAAGTCAAAATATATATGCAATATTTGATGTGACACGTAATAAGCTGTTTTATCTTGTATGTATTGGATTTTGTTCTATCTTCCAATTCTTTCACTACCTTTTTCTGCATTCCTGTCCCCGTACAGGCCAAACAATAGCCACATTGAAAGAAACCAATTTCTTCAGTGAGGAATGTTGTGTTCTTTTTCTCATTTTTAAAACTACTTTTTACTAATTCCTAATGCTGGGTACTCCTCTATAAATAACCCTAGGTATTTTAGGGATTATTTCTTCTAACAGGAGATCTCCAGAGAGAATAACCCAATATTTATTTACAATCTTTCTTAACTCCTTACTATTTCCTGAGTAATTGGATATTAATGGTACTCCTTGGGTTTCTATACTTCTTAGGCCATTTCTTCCAGTTTTTTCAGTTTTTCTTTTTTAAAAGGTCTTTTCTGTCAATACTTTGGACAGCTTGAGATGCTTTCTCTAGTGTTTTTTCTGGATAATTTTTCATCCTAAAGTCTTCTAGCAATTTTGTCGCTTGGATAGTATAATCGTCCTCATTAGTACAATTACGTCTAACTCGCATAAGTTGGTCTTTGGGTATGCCATCCAACCAGGGGCCATAGTGAGAGCTGTCGAAAAAAAATAAAACTGTTGACGTCCACCTTTTTAAAGAAGGTTTTAGCCTGGATCCTCATAGCAGATATAAAAATATGAAGATCTAAAAAATGTACTTCGCTGTCACTATGGTCCATAGTCAGACTGACATCCCAAGTATTGGACTTAAGAAACTCAACAAACAGCTGAAGTTCCTGCACGGAACCCCTCCAAATAAAGAATAAATTGTCAATGAAACGGCGATAGGTGACCAGATTTCGAGCCCAGGCATGCTCTCCATATATACGTCTCCTCCCAGAATGACATAAAGAGATTGGCTTAGTTGGGTGCGAACCTGGTCCCCATCGTCGTTCCCAATACCTGTTGATAGAAGGAATCCAAAAAATAAAAATAATTATTATTCAAGATCATATTGATTCCATCTAGGATGAATTCCTGATGGTCAAGGGTTAACTCAGTTTCAGTTAAAAAAGATTTAATGGCTTCAATCCCAATTTGGTGGGGGATAATCGAGTAAAGCGACGAAACGTCAGCAGTAACTAAAAGATCTCCCTCCTTCCACTCAATATCCTCCAAGATTCTCAGGATATGTCCCGTATCTCGTAAATATGCTTTGGTTTTCTTAACTATGGGTTGGAGAAATTGATCTATATATTCTGACAAAGGGGCAGATATTGATCCTATGCCTGAGATGATAGGTCTTGCCGGTGGTCTTGTTTCAGGTTTGTGGATTTTGGGCAAGAAGTAATACACTGGTATCCTAGGGTGTGTTACCATCAAGTATTCGTGTTCTTGTTTTGTCAATATTCCCATACTTAGGCCTTTATCTAGATATTCTGAGAATGTCTTCTTTATATCTTTAGTTGGATCTCCTATTAACTTCTTGTATCTTACTCCATCATCTAGTTGTCTTAAGGATTCTTCAATGTAGTAGGATGTATCCATTACTACAATTCCCCCCCACCCCATTGTCAGCAGGTTTAATAATCACCTCTTTATCTTCCTTAAGTTCTTTAAGGGCTCTTTGTTCTTCCCTTTTAAGGTTCATCCGATTCTTATCAATTCTCTTTATTCTCTCTACCTCTCTCATTACGAGATCTTCAAATTCCCCTTATTGAATTTGTTTTACAATTATTTGGGCAGAATGTGGACTTCTTTAATTTGGTATGTTCTTGTACCACAGTAGGCGATTCCGTTTTATCTATAAAAAATCTCTTGAGGCATAATTTACGGACAAATTTTTTTATATCAATAAAAGTGGAAAAATGATCTAGGTTGGCTGTGGGGCAAAATTTTTGTCCTCTTGCCAAAACCGTGTTCTGTATTGGAGTCAGAATTTTCTTGGAAAGATTGTATATACCTACTATCTCTATTGTCTTCCTTGTTTTCCTTCTCTGAACCTTTTTTCCACCCCTTGTTCCTCTCTGTCTGGCTCTATTCTTCTTTTTATGGGGGAATTGGGGACATTGAATCTTATCCTTTCTTTTCTTTTTTGTTCCCACTCTAAAAAAACATTGGGCTCTTCTCTCTGGTTAAACTTCTCAAACCTATTGGTGGTGGAGATATTGTACCTCGTAGCATCTTCTTTTCTTACTTCTTGTTGCATGTTTCTTTGGGATTTTTGGTGGTTTTTCATTTAAATCCCTTTTTCCACTGGTTGACATATTCCTTTTATTGGGGGTTGGATTTTTATAGTCTCTTTTTTTGTTGGTATTCTACTCTTTCTTTTCTAATTTCTGTTCTTTGCCTATAGCTATTCGGTCTCTGTATCTCTCTTTTATTGTTTCTTATATTATCATTCTCATTTCCATTTTTACTCTCACTAAATCTTCTTCCTCCTTTAATTGGTCTTGATGTACCTTTCCATCTATCGCTATCAGGCCTTCTCCTAGAGAATGTGTGTACCTGATTTTCCTGATAGTCTCTCTTATGTGATTATATATTGTTGGAAGCTAAAATATTTATAAAAGTTTTTTATAGAAAGTTTTTTCTAACAATATTTTTTTCATAATGTGATCTTTTGGGCAATATCAGCCTACAGTGTTGTAATCTTTACTATAGGCAGTATGAACAGATTTCATAAACAGCCCTAGAAAAGACTTATGAATTGAGTGCACATACCCACTAAGAGTGGGAGGACTAGAAATAAATCCTAGTCTGATTGACTGCCCCCTCAACAAATGGTGAAACAGAAGGGGAGTGTCTGGACACTTAAAAGACAGGGCTGAGCAGGAATGATGTCATCAGAAGAAGCCCAGGAGGCGGGTGAAACGCGTCACTTGTGACATCAGAGAGAGGCGGTCCCAGCGGTCCCAGCGGTCACGTGACCGGAACCAGGAAGTGTCTAAGCTGTATCATTTTCTGTGTGTAAATTCCTGCTTATCTAGTTGTGGGTTTATTGCTGGCAAACCCACTACTTCAAGTAAGAGTTTTTAACCTTTTGTTTAAATAAATACTGTGTTTGATACTATTCAATTTGGGCTCCTGCCTCTCTTTTTGTTTATACTGCCTAGATCAGGGGTAGGCAACCTTTCAGCAGCACTGTGCCGATATAGGATTGTGATGTTCCGTAGCGTGCCGGTCCTATTTTTTTAAATTGAGGTGTGTATGCTACAGTATTCTGCTTGTGTTATTTTTACTGTAATTGCCTTGTATCGTTGTATTTGTGCGTATATGAGCTATTATATTGTATATGTTCATTAGTAGTTTATGGTATCGTGTATGATACATATGAATGTGGGCTGTGTATGAGGGCTGCTTGTGGAATTGTGTGTGGGTGGATATGTCACATTGTGTGCTTGGTAGTGGGGACTGTTTGGGGTATTGCATGTGAGAGGCTGCATGTGGGGTTGTGTGCATGTATGTATATTGTTAGTGGTGTTGCGTTTGTGGGGATTGTGTGTTGTGTGTGGGCTGTTCATATTATTTGTATGAGGGGAGGGTTATTCTACATTTCTGTGTATATCTAGCAATGTGGGTGGGTTCCCTGGGTTCCAGTGGGGACCAGGCTGGCCAGGTACAGGTCAAGGACAGGAGATGCGATAGCTGTCGAGGGCTGCTCTACTACAGTGTGGATTCCCATTCACAAGTGCTGGGAGGAAGTGATCTGAGAACACTTCCTCTATGTGCTGCAATGCATAAATTGAGGATTGTCCTTCACCACCTCTTCGTATTAGCAGATATCTGAAGTTTTACTGGGACTCCTGATAGGCCAGAGTGCATTTGGCTCTAGCAGCCTTGAGTGCCGTGGAAAGACACCTCGAGTGCCGTGCATGGCACTAGTGCCCTAGGTTGCCTACCCCTGGCCTAGATATTACATCTGATTCAGAAGAGTATCCTGTTTTGCTATACTGTGGGTTTATCCCTCTCCATTGGAGCAATTCAAACCCAGAGCCAGGGGTGATAGGGCTCTGGTCCATAGTACTCAGAGAAGATCCTGACTCCAGTGCAGTTGCTAGCGCACTCCAACTTTCTTGTATCTATTGCTAATTTGTGTCACTGTGTGTCACTTGAGGGTCGTGCAGCAGCACTGCAGATATTCTTAAAGGACCACTCTAGGCACCCAGACCACTTCAGCTTAATGAAGTGGTCTGGGTGCCAGGTCCTTCTAGGGTTAACCCATTTTTTCATAATTATAGCAGTTTCAGAGAAACTGCTATAATTATGAATGGGTTAAGCCTTCCCCTAATCCTCTAGTGGCTGTCTCATTGACAGCCACTAGAGGCGCTTGCATGCTTCTCACTGTGATTTTCACAGTGAGATCACGCCAGCGTCCATAGGAAAGCATTGTAAATGCTTTCCTATGCGACGGGCTGAATGCGCGCGCAGCTCTTGCCGCGCGTGCGCATTCAGCCCAGGAGGAGGATCGGAGGAGGAGAGGAGGCAGAGAGCTCCCCGCCCAGAGCTGGAAAAAGGTAAGTTTTTAACCCTTTCCCCTTTCCAGAGCCGGGCGGGAGGGGGTCCCTGAGGGTGGGGGCACCCTCAGGGCACTATAGTGCCAGGAAAACAAGTATGTTTTCCTGGCACTATAGTGGTCCTTTAAGCGCTTTGACTCCATCTGGTTTTTCAGAATTAAAAAAGGGCATAAATGGAAGACTGCTTTTAATACTCGTTATGGTCACTACGAGTATCGGGTCATGCCCTTTGGGTTATGTAATGCCCCAGCAGTCTTTCAAGACTTCATTAATGATGTTTTAAGAGAGTATTTACAGATGTTTGTAATAGTCTATTTAGACGATATCCTGATCTACTCCAACAATATTAAGGACCACCATACACATGTCAGGTTGTTCTTTCTAAGCTCTTAGAACACAGACTTTACTGTAAGTTAGAGAAATGTCTATTTGACAAGGATGAAGTACATTTCCTGGGCTATATAATTTCAGGGTGTGGATTTCAAATGAATAAAACAAAAAACTAGAAGCTATCCTACACTGGCCCTTGCCCATTGGACTCAAAGCCATCCAACGTTTCCTGGGATTTGCTAATTATTACAGGAAATGTATTAAGGGATTTTCCTCTATCACTGCCCCTATCACTGCCATGACCAAAAAGAGACGGAATCTCATGGAATGGAGTCTCGAGGCCAAGGAAGCTTTTGAGAGATTAAAAATGGCTTTTTCCTCAGCGCCAGTATTGAGACATTCCGATCCTTCACGTCCCTTTCTATAAGAGGTGGATGCATCAGAAACGGGTATTGGGGCTGTATTATCTCAACGACCCTCTGATGATCAACCGCTGCATCTCTGTGGATTTTTTTCTAAGAAATTAACGGAAACAGAAAAAAGATATGATATTGGTGACAGGGAATTATTGGCTTTTATCTCAGCTCTTAAAGAGTGGCGCCATCTGCTAGAAGAGTCAGCTATTTCAATTACCATCCTTACGGATCATAAAAACCTTTCGTATTTTGGAGAGGCCAAAAGAATGTCAGACAAGCAGATTCGATGGACTGTATTTTTAACACGGTTTAATTACATTGTAACTTACAGACCGGGGTCAAAGAACACTAAGGCTGATGCCTTATCCCGTCAACATGAACATTTATCACCTCCCGTAACCCACTTTTCCTCCATAATCCCAACCAACCACATAATTGCCACTGTCCATGCCAAAGTCTCTTCTGGGTTAATGGAGGATCTATCCAAATTCCAGGATCGTGCCTCATTAACCGTTCCCCGGGGAAAATTATACGTACCCTTAGCTTATAGAAAAAAGGTCTTATCCCTTGTACACGACTTCAAATTGGCAGGGCATCTGGGTATTCACAAAACTGAATCTTCACTCGAAAAACAATTCTGGTGGCCTTCATACAAGAAGGACTTTTGTGAGTTGGTTCTTGCATGTAGTATCTGTGCCTCTACTAAATCACCCAAAGGTCGTCCTTTTGGTCTCCTCTTGCCATTGCCCCTTTCCGATAAACCCTGGTCGAGTATTGCCATGGATTTTGTAGTGGACCTGCCTCCCTCCAAGAATCATAGTGTCATATTGACTATTATTGACAGTGTAACGGATCGCCTGGCACCCCGACTGGGTACCTCCGTTAAAGGATGCTCCTAGCACTTCCTGAGGACTCCAAGCACTGCAGCAGACACCAAAACCACCGAACCGGAGAAACAAATAAATTCTCCCAAGCATATGAATGCTGTAGACAGTTGAATAGGAACCATATGAATAGGTTTACTCTCCTAGCAGTCAAACTGGAACAGCATACAATAAATCCTTCCCCCAATAATGAGGCGACACTTCACTTTGAGGGTTAAAACAGGAACTCCCTGTACTGTCACATACAGTCTCTTTTATTCCCAATCCACAAACATAATACAGCCCACAGGGTGTTACAAAACAACCAATCAATCCGTACAATACACCCAGACACTCCCACACAAAATCCTCCCCTCTGCAGGTGATATGATTACTGAACACAATGGGTAATCTCATTATCACCGGCAGAGGAATACAGTTTTTACACAATATTTCTAACTTCTAAAATATACATGTCAAAAACATAAAACATACATTTTGATAATCAATCCATTCAGGGGAACAACATATTAAAAAATGGCACGAATCAGACCAGGGGTTCAAAAGTTAAGGGGAAGTCCTTTGTGACTAAATGAAGCATGGCTTTCTGGCCCAAACCAGTTTCAGAGTCTTCTATCCTGGAGATAAGTAATTCAATTATCTCCCAGGATAGACACAGACTCCATTAAGCACATGGTTGCAAAAAGGCACAAAACACTTTAAAATACATAAAGTCACCTTTACACATAACACACAGACATTTCACATATCCCCAGATAGCTGGGATCTGAGTGCACATTATTAGATGAATGGCACTCAGATCACACAAATAACCCTTTCTGCAGGGGAAATAAACGGTTTAACCTGCAGGGCCATAGTCCAAAGGGAGCAGGCGAGCAACCAGGCTTCTCCAGTTCACAGTGGCGAGGTTGGTTTCGCCACAGACAGATTCTCTAAAATGACCCATCTGGTCCCGTTAATCAAATTACCTTTGTGACAGAACGATCTGCCTGCTTGTATTTTAGTTGCATTCATCTGTTTGTATCCCGTTCGTATGAATGGCTGTTTTCTATAGCCTAGCCATTCAAATTACTTTTTTCCTGGACAACCCTGCCGAACGGACGGCCACCCAGGAGAGAAGTGTGCTGCTGGTTAACCTATTGATCCCAATTAGAACGTTGTGGTTAACCGCAGACACTTCTCAATTAAACCGAATTCAGGGTGGTCGTCGTTCGTATGTCGACCACGAGGCAGCGGCCATTTTAAACCACGCGAAAGCCCAGCGGTGTTTGGCTCTATTTCTATGGAACTAAAAACTGACACTTTTTCTGCCGAACACCGCTGAAACAACGGAGCGCCTGGCTGTCTCCACGAAAGCATACGAATACCGGCCGTTCGGGAGGTTTGGAGCATACGAAAAGACTTAACCCAGATAGCCTTCCCATGGAGTCATTCGTATACCGAAAGACTGTAAGAACTTTGACTCCATGGCGATTGAACTATGTGTATGGGATCTGAGCGCTATTCGCTAATAATATGCACTCAGATCCAGGGTATCTGGGGATATGTGATACGAATGGGAAATGTTCGGTTATTTTAAAGTTATGCATTTTTATGTCTTTTATGATTTTATATTTAAGATGGCGACTGGCTTTGTCCTGGAGATAATTGAGTTACTTGGTAATTATCTCCAGTGCAGAGGGGAGGGAATCATAATGCACTGTGGGTAAAATCTGTGACTGTGTGTCTGGAATGTCCCCATATCTGTCTGTTATTTAAGTCTCCCATTTGGTCCCCTAGGGGAGTGTCCACCAAGTGGGAGACCTGCATAAATACGGGCAGGTAGCCCACAGTAAAGCCAGATCCTGTTTGACCCTTCTGTCTCGTTATTGGGGGGATTTCTTCTTCATGTTTAGAGACTGCTGGATGGAACGGAAGCCGCTTGGTGAATATTGTTGTTCGGCGGCTAGCAACAGTTCGTGTATTGCCGTTCGGGAGTTAGGAGCCGTTCATAGATCCCGGTTGGGAGACTGCAGCTTCCCCTGCCTTTGGTTCGTGCACTACAGGTCAGGCGAACGGAGTTACTGATATTGCAGCCGGGGAAGGTCTACTAAACGGCGGTTTTGCCTAAAGACACTGGAGGTGTCTTAACAACCTTCTTCTTCTGAACTGGCCTCTTTGTTTATAAAAGAGGTGGTACGTTTACATGGTATACCTCAAGATATTACTTCCAACAGAGGTCCACAATTCGTTTCACGGTTCTGGAGGGCATTTTGTGACCAACTAGGTATTAATCTTAACCTTTCTTCTTCTTACCATCCCCAATCAAACGGGGGTTATGGAAAGGATGAATCAATGCCTTGAACAATATATCTGCTGTTTCACTTCTGAGCATCAAGACGATTGGGTGGAGCTACTTCCATGGGCTGAATTAGCCCATAATAATCTGGTGCATGAACCTACTCAACATAGTCCCTTTTTTATTAATTATGGTTTTAACCCTACAACTCTGCAGAGTTCTTTTTCATCTACAGGAGTGCCAAGTGTTGACAGCACTATCAAC